TAGCATATGTGTTTTAATCGTGGAAAAGGAAATTTTATTCTATGCGATTAATACGAAGTATTTTGTATCCAACAAAAATAGTATTTTTGTCGATAAAACAGACGGCTTTAGCATCCTCTTAACACCCTACATATATTGCTCGTTGTTGGCCTTACCTCTTAATATTGCTGAACGTATCATATAAAGAATTTAATACAATAAATTAAATACAATAATTCTTTAAGAAAAACTGTAATTAAAATAATTAATCCTCATTCTAATTAAAGTTAATAAAATTAACAAAATCAAAATTTCTAACTTAATTATGTAATTTTTGTGCAATTGTAGGTTACTTTAATATATATTTAATTTATTCGTCTTTTATTTCTGACAATACCTACTTTCCAATAAGAAATCTGAAAATCCAATCAACGTTACTGTGAAAAAAATCGAAATAAAAAATCTGAATTGTGGATTCTTTTCGTATTCGAATTCATGATGAAAGAATTTTGTATCTAACGCTGAAGAATTTATTTTATCCCGCGCCTTTGACCCTTGCCATACCACTCGCCGCGGGGTGGGGGGTTTTTAAGAGGACGTGATTCGGCTGCTATGTGACTGTGTGACGTCTTCGAGCGTGTCAGCACGTGTGTTCTGGCCGCATTTGCTCGGGTAACGGAGTGAAGGGCCATTTTTCGGAGTTGCTGATGCTGATCCAGTTGGATCCTTAACTATCACCTGCTGTCACTAATAATAATCTCTTTTTTACAGAATTTATTTTAGTTAAATTTTAATAGTTTTTTTTTTAAATATGAATGAAATAGAAAGCTTGCAACAGAGAGTCATAGAGCTCGAAAATGAGCTGCGAGAAAAGAAAGATAGAGATGCAACATTAACGAGGGAAAGGATTGAACATATGTCAGATGAAGTAGTGGATTCAAACCCATATAGGTAAAATGTTTCACAATGTTTTTCGATTATTTATATTATTTTAGTATACATAAAAGAGATACGAATGTACAGAATTTTCCAAGCTTTATATTTTTGCCTTCTAATATCTTCCAGTCGATTGATGGCATTGAAGCGTATGGGTATTGTTGAAAATTATGAGAAAATACGAGAATTAACGGTAGCTATAGTCGGAATTGGTGGTGTTGGTAGTGTAACAGCAGAAATGTTGACAAGATGCGGTATCGGAAAGGTATAATAGAGATATTGTAATAACATATCCTTTTATTAAAAATTTTTAACATATGTCATCTTTTTTATCAACACAACGATATATTGCATGTTAATGAATTGGTATTCAATAATGTTCTATTACATGTTTCAGTTGCTACTGTTTGATTATGATAGTGTAGAACTTGCAAATATGAACAGATTATTTTTTCAACCTTATCAAGCAGGCCAGAGTAAAGTAGAGGCGGCAGCAAATACTTTGCGTTACATAAATCCTGATGTGGAAATTGAAATACACAATTATAATATTACGACTGTTGATCATTTTCAAGATTTTATGAATACAATAAGGTATAAATTTATAAATTCCTTTTTAAAGATAACAAGAATTAATGAAACAGGCAATAAGAGTCAAAACGCAGAACTTGGTGCATAAGTATTCTTTTATTAAATTATCAATACATATTCTTAAAATCTTCCTTCGTCATCGAGATGACTACTGAATAATTTGAAAAGAATTCTTCTACACCAAGTTCTGCATTCTGACTTTTATTATCTGTTTCACTAATTCTTGTTATTTTTGAGAGTCAGTTATATATTTGAGAGTCATAACAAGATGACATCAAATGATGTTTCAATAACATCTTATTGACATTAGAGACGTTATTAAGACGTCACCTTGCTACTTGGAATATTAGATTTTATTTTTTAATCCTTTTTTAATATGAATTATCCTGTTTTATATCTACAGATTTCTATGCTAAATTCTTTCAAAATTAATATCTATTTTAAGTTAATTTAGTGAGTTTTAGTAATTTAAATTCATATATTTTTTCAGTAACTCTAGTTTGAAAAATGGTCCAGTCGATTTGGTACTGAGTTGTGTCGATAATTTTGAAGCTCGCATGGCAATAAATACTGCATGTAACGAACTTAAGCAGAAATGGTTTGAAAGTGGAGTATCTGAAAATGCAGTGTCCGGTCACATTCAATTTATTGTACCTGGTGAAACAGCCTGTTTTGCAGTAAGATTTTTATTTGATTTATATATAGACTGTTTGTATTACGTGATAATTTCTTTTAAATGATATGCTAATTTTTCCATAAAACACTAAACGTATTGGAAAAAAATGTTTTAAATAAAAAGTTTTATAGTTTTAAGATGGAAAAGCGACAAATATTTTATGAAATACTTTATAAAATAGTTACATTTATTTTCAAGTTATTTTCAAGAAATGATAATTTTTTACACATAATTTGGTTTTTTTTTATTATTTTATATTAAAGTATTTTACAAAAATATTTAAATAAGTTATAAAAAAATCCACAATTGATATTTTATTCTGGCATATATTTTGACATAAAATATAAAATATCTCGTAAGATATTCATGTCCTGATTGTTTTACTTTAATATTTTTATGCACATAAATCATGAAATAAATCAAAGAAACTATACCTAACGCTTTTAAAAATTGTATGATTGCAAATTGCATATAAAAAATATACTATGCTTGTCTGAAGTAATTATCGATATAATTTTTCTTTATGATTAATTTATCTTACTCTGCCTAAGTGTTAATGTAAGGAAATTAAAGAGTATTTCATAAGAATAAAACATTTTTTTTAAATGCTTAGTTTAATGGAAAAATCTGTGTACCACTTAAAACGAATCATCATAAATTGATCACTCTATTATTTTTAGTTGTCTTTTAAAGAATTCTATAAATTAAATTTATCTTGAAGAATATAATGATTTCTATATAATTATTTTACAAAATTTATTCTGTAATTGTCTCATTCCTAAATTTGAATTTTCAGTGTGCTCCACCTTTGATTGTAGCATCTAGCATTGATGAGAAAACCTTGAAACGTGAAGGAGTATGCGCTGCATCATTACCTACTACGATGGGTATCATAGCAGGCTTTTTGGTGCAAAATGTTTTGAAGTTTTTATTAAAATTTGGAAAAGTGTCTCATTATTTAGGTTACAATGCTATGGAAGATTATTTCCCTACTATGACTTTGCGGCCTAATCCAAATTGTGATGATGTATATTGTAAACAAAGGCAAAAAGAATATTTGACAATGCCAAAAATTCAACAGAAACAAAATGTTATTGAAGAAAAACCTGTACACGAAGATAATGAATGGGGTATATATATATATATATAATATATATACATATATGAATTGCAATAAATTTATTTGACTCATTATGTAACTATAGTTACAAATCAATGATCAATACGAGTCTGACGCGAAGTTGTGCGTGCGATTAATAAAATTTTAAAGTACAAATGAACAATTGATTACGAATTCAAATATCGATTTCAATGTTTACTGAGCTCTTCAGTTATAATCTTTAGCGGACTTATAATCGTTTGTACTTTTCATTTTATCAATCAGCACATACAACTGCGCACCAGCTTCGTATTAGTTATTAGTTTGTAACTACAGTTTCAAAACATTTATATCTTCATATATAATACTCTTAGCTAAATATTATTTTTTTATAGGAATTTGTTTGGTTGATGAACAAAGTAATCATTCGAATGAAAAAACATGCGTATTATCAACTCCAGGTGTGCGACATGCATATACTGTACCAGCGCCTACATGTACAAGCAATTCAGAAGGACAAACTGTTCCTGAATCTACAGGATTAAGTTTAGAAGATTTAATGGCACAGATGAAATCAATTTGAAGATAATTTAATATAGACAATGCCACATTCCATATTAAAAAATTTTTAAACTTTTATATTTACACAATATCATATGTAATTACTTTGTCTTAGATACGTATAAAATTACTTACTTCTTATAATTTGTAAAATTATCTACATGGTTACTACAAAAAAGTAATTTTCTAATAACAGTGTATTTTACGTGACGATAGCAATTTAATATTAATGAAAAGAATTATGAAAAACGTGCTTAATATAATATTGTTTAATTTCTGTAATTCGTTTATTTTCAAAATATTTATACTTGTTTATACTGATTAGTAGTACAATTATATCAAAACTTTATTAATAAATATTGTACAAGAACAAAATTATACGTCAAATTTTTCAAAACATACAGATGGTCCCTCTTCCTCGTATTCTTCTCTCGTCACCAAAAGATTAGAAAATATTGTGTCTTGTGAAAGTTGTTTCCCACCAAACCACGCATAATTAATTGGACTAAAAGTTGAAAGAATATTATTATATACAATCTTATTAACTATTATTAGGGTTTTTACAAAATAATAGCAAATGAAACATATAAATACTTTTGTGGTAAGTAGACGTTCACAGAATATTCAGCTGGAGCTAAACTTCTAACTTCTTTGTAAACTCTATCTTTAAATCCTGGAAACTTTGCATTACCACCGGTAAGTATAATATTGGATAGAAAATGAGGCCATGTTTCTTCACTGCATGCCTTTATGGAATCCATAATAGCTTCTGAAATACCCATTTGTCGAATGCCGACATCTGCTGGATGAAATAATATTTCTGGTATTGCAAATCTTTCATTAGTTAAACGTAATGTTTGCTGTTCATTAGATGGCTCAGGATCCTTAAGGTATCCACGTCGAAGAGTCGTATAATCTGGCAAAACATAATCTTTAACAATATTATTCTCTAATTTACGCTTAGCCTGTTCCATATCCTTGAAGAAATCTTGCGACACAAAACAAGAATCCTCTTTCACTTGATTAATTACGTATGTTTCATCCATAACGTGCAGCTGACGATAAGATATGATCTCTTTCAGATGATTTGTTAAAAGCTTGCCACCTACATCTATCCTTCGTATTCCTTCCTTTACTTTTGTATCATTAATATATGGGATAATGTGTGTAAAACTATAACCACTATCTACTACTATGCAGCATTTTGTGGTAGGATATTCCACTCTATAATTGTAACACGAAAGACTCGGAGCGTTTATTCTTAAGAGACTGTGACATTCATATTCCTCAAAGAAGATCTCAGTCATAGCCTCTTGAATACTTGGAAAATTAAATATAGGTTCGGTCACTATTACAGATAACTGATTTAAATTAACCGAACAAGATTCTTTTGAGAATATATAGTCCCATACAGTTTTTTGAATGTCCCAATTCACCAAGTAACCTTTCTGAAAAGGTAAGATGTAAAATAGCCCAGAGGCGTCTCTGCAATCTTCTATTTGATTTCCAATGAAAGGCCTGCGACGTTCGCTCTTTGCTTTCATTATGCAATTTGGAACTAATCTGAAATATTTTTCTCGATTAATATAAATAAATGCACTATTGTTGAAAATACAATTTTCTTTTAATATAGCATACTTACCTGGGTGTCTCGTTGGCTAAACCAACCTTTGCCGTGCAAGCACCGTTATCAAGAATGAAAGTAGAATTAGTCATGTTTTAAAAAATATCACAAATGATATTTTAAATACAATTTTGATTTTTGATGGATTTGTTAGGAAATTAAGTTTGATTTGCTCAAACAGTGTTGTCACTTTGTCAGTTCTGCTTTCAATAATCTAGTAACTGACACAAACAAGAACAGCGCATGCGCATCGAGTTGCCTAAAAATAACCAAAACTAAAGTTACTAGATTATTGAAAATTATTAATAAATAAAATATGGGACAATTTATCGATAAAATAGGAAAAATACTTGTATATACGGATCTAGCAAACAACTAGCAAACGTTTTAGCACCGAAATATTTATGAAATTATGAGATAAAGGTTTCTGTTGGTAATATAATCAAGTAAATCTATATTTTATATAGATGTAGAGTCCTAGATTATCAGAGAAGCGCGACCGGTGTTACAAGTCCTGATTGGACTCGCAAATGGCCAATCATAAGATTGATTTATCGCTATTATAAATGGCTGCCGAATAAATCAAACTTATGATTGGCCATTCGACGCCATTTTTAATATTTTCTAGTACTTTTGCGATACTGCCATAAGCCGGTCGCGCTTCTCCATGGAGGACTGGAGAGAGCATATCGGTAGTGGGGGTAAGAAATTTGTAATCGGAAATGACATCATCAGTCAACCGTCTAACGCACTGTTTAGCCGCAAACGGCGCTATAGTAGAAGCTTTTGATTGGCTTTTGATCGAGCATGGAACTATGGAAGACTTTATTTCACATGTTAAGAGG